CAACACAATTAAACAGTTGGAATATGAATGAAAAATGATTGGCTCGCAGACTAAATACCAATCGCTAAGCTAAGAATCATGTTCAGGAACAATGATCATCTAAATATGGCCAATTTTCCTGCAAGGCAGAAATCACTTTTAGAATCTGACAATCGGGGATTATTCGATATCAAGAAATAAATATTTAAGTGAATGGAGATCTATCTGCAGTTTTAGGAGATGTTAATCCCAGAAATGTATACTTTCTACGTTAATCATTTTGAGTTTTTGATTCTTGATTGAATTCAAGAGTTTTGTAAGATTTGCTATTTTCAGCAGATAATTATCAAAAGGTATTTTTAATGGCATTTGTGAAGATTATACACAAAGGATTAGTTGTTCTCAAAGAATGCGATAATTTACCTTACTATCGTAGGGAATAACAAAGATCTACAGAGTCTCAGGAAATTGAGAAAATTGAGAACATTATAACATCAAGTATATATGTTTATTCATGTTATGTCAAAAAATCTAGGTATTCTGTGAAATATTTGAGAAAGAAAACTGATTTTTTTGACCCATAAGAAATATATTGAAAGAGTAATGGCTAAAGTATCTTACCTGGAATATTTTCAATGAATAAAATCTCACGACCGTTGTGTTTTAAAATGCAAAATTGAGTGGAAATTAGTGGAATCAGCAAGGAATAAAGTATACAGGCATGTTGTGAACACTCTAAATTGCTTAGAAATGAAAGAAAATCAGACACTTTTTTCAAATTTTAGAGAGAAACTGAGTGAAAAAGGCTAGATTGGGTCACCAATTTGAGCAAGGCTACATTGGATTGGTGTAGGAAGAATGCTAGCTAGGATTGCAAGGCGAGTTCCATAGATTTCACTAAACTTGAATTCTCATTTTTCAGAAATATAAGACTGAGCAATTATGGGTTATTGATTTTTATAAGCAACCTGTCACATTTAAGATAATATTCATGCCATATTTTTTTCTGGAATTAATGAGTTCTAATTTGGATTATTGGATATTTTTTTCTGGGTGAAAAGGAGGAAAAATGACAGGATTACCCTTTAAATTCTTTCTTCGTCACTTCTTAAAAGAGAGCTTCGTCTTCACTTTGTAATGATTTATTACCCTGGCTGTCACAGGCACTAGTCATGGGACAGAGCTGCTAAACTGTATAACATAGTCTATACTCGGCAGAGGGTTAAGTTTATAACTAGACTCTGCATGCAGGGTAGGGTAGGATGCACATCAAGATGAATATTTTGAGAAATGAAAAAGTCATGTTAAGTTCTCATTTATGTATCAGTCACTGAACTTTTTATTTGGACAACATTTCAACATTATGTCTAGTGTATCAATCATTTTTTGCTGATTAGAGGGTTTGATTTACGTTCATTTGTCTCAGTTACATACACATAGCTCTTAATTTAAACAAGAATAACTTTCTTGACTGCAAATTGTTATGGCAACCCTGAGATATAAACATACATTTTATATCTGCCAAAAAATTGAATTAGAATAACAAATGTGATGAAAATATGCATCAAATAACATAATTGATTTTAATTAACACTTAAAAACGTCATAGAATACAGCATAGTCAGAATAATATTTTGCAATTATTTTAAAGTTTTTATAAGGGTAAGTTAGATTACTGGCATTTATCCCTCTATTGAGTGTATTGATCAATTGACAATCCCTTGGATAAAATTCCACAGAGGGCAGAGTATAAAAGAAAATTCACACAAAAAGAGTGAAATTTCCAAAGAATAAAGTAATCAGGGATGTAGCTGATAGTCTTATTTATATTTAAATGCCAGAGCTTGTTTAGCTTCTTCAGTTTTTAGAGAGAAATAGTGAGAAATAAGGATAAACAGAGAGGAATTTTGAGAACAGGGATAAATGTATCAGAGGAAGAGTTGGAATCAACTAAGGGGCCAGATCAAGATTTCAATTTCAATTTTTGTTGTTGCAGATCATACTACAATAGAAAAGATGTCTTCATGGCTTAGAAATGTTCATGAGGCTTGGTTTTGAAAATTAAGTTCATAATCTAACAAGTAATCATGTTAAAAGTAGGGAAGATGTCATATTACAAGGCATTACTATTTTTTGAGATGTCCCCCATTTTGACCAGTGTTGGTTAAGTATTTGATTGATACGATTGTAATTGCTTCCACTTTGATGTTAATCTTCGACTGATGATTTCAAGCTTTCTATCTTCATCAGGAATTTTCTCAAAATATTTTGTGATTCTAGTTTAGAGCAGATCAGTGATTTTTCAGTATTTCAGTCTGAATCTCTGCTATAGATATTTTTAATAATTCAGTAGTCATTAAAATCAGATTTTTATGACACATCGAGAAATCTTGATTCTATTTTTTGTTTTCTGTGCACTCTTGGAATAAGAGAATTCTCATTCATTGTATTTTCTATTCAAGGAGTACGATTTAATGATTGCGATTATGATTTTACTCATGAAATGAATGCTATATACAATAAGAAAGGGCCGTGATCTCATAATATAATACACAAAGTGTCTGAATAAAAAACAGGAGATGACATGCAAATGTCTTACACATATCGCAGAACATTGACAATGAAACTGCCAGCTCGTACTACAAAATTAATAATTAAAGCCATGAATTGACACATTCATGAATCGGATATATCTAACTCCAGCACAAATTATGAATTTAATAAGAACGAACAATTACGACAAAGCAATATACAATTCAACGAAACGAAACAATAGTAACAGTAAAAATACTATCGTGCAGATTTTTTTCGATACTGGATTATTGATAGTCGCCGTGACTTGTAGTTTGGAATTATAAAAGTTAAGATGATATCACGGAAGGTATTGTGGCCTCTGGTACAGAGAAGTATGTCTGCGCCCGCAGGAGGCGTCTCGGGAATGATAAATGATCGATTCAAACTAAAGGTAAGTGAATGTGTAAGAATTGATATATATACATACACATACGTGAAATTCACTCGCTTCGTTTTGAAAAAAATTAGTGAAAAAAGCGAGAGGAGAGAGAACCAGCGAGGAATTGGAACATGATTTGCATAAACACATGTAAGAGGGATTATATATTGGAAACAATGAATCATTTCACAAAGCAATATTTTTTCATCTTGTCAGCTCACCTTTGTTAATAATTGAGGCAGGAATTACACAGACAGGTGAGGTAATATATAAAAAAATTTGCATGTGTTTAAGACAATGATTCAGTTTATGAAAGTATATTTTTTTCTTTTTCGATATGAAACATATGTATGAGAACAGTATATATGATGGTTTTGAACTCTGATTTGACTTTTTTTGAATTGTTGACATTGAGAGGTACCTGGTCATATAGAGGTTTTCTCTTGGAATAAAACTCTGGACCCCCACCCCTCCCCTATTGTCTATTTCACTATAGATTATGTTTGGAGGGGTGGGGTAACAATACATTGTAGTTTTGATTTTGCCTCTTAAAAGAGAGCTTCATATACCCAATATATAAGACTATGACACTCATGCTAGGGTGACTAATAGAGTTTTTGCATATTGAACAATGTTGTATCTACAAATACATGTAATAATCATCGATAAAATTTGCGGAATAGGGGCTTATTTTTATTGGTGTCGCAATTAACATAGAAAAAATATCTATAGAATAGTGAAATGGGGTAAAGTGTCAAAATAAGTTTTCATATAGAGGAAAAAATGTTTAGTTCAGCTGTCAGTCTTATTAATCAATGTAATTCACATGTACTTGTTGGCATTTCGAAGACATTTCTTCAATTTTGCATGCTTTCATCAATTCATTTATCAAACATAATTGCACTGCATAGCTCAGGGAATATATAAGGCTGGCGCTGGCAAGAATTGTCTATGGTTCTAGCCAGGATAAAGATACCACTTCTTCAACTCGACAATGGGAAGAACTGCTCTACCTAAGTGACTAATATGTCATGATATGACATCTAAAGAGTCGATAAAAGATATATATAGCAAACCGAACTCCCTAACACGAAACCTCGTGGCAGAACTCAACTTGATTTTCAAGATTCAGCTATCAGAATCCTATTAATCTTGCCATCCATGGCGCAGTGATCTCAATTGAAACAGAATCAATAGAGTAATTTCTTAATTGGGGGCTGGTTTGTGTCCCTTATAATCCCAGTCTATTAGGACAGATTATTGCACTTTCTAAAATTTAAGGCTCGATGATCAGAGATTTCATGGAATTTCCCATTTTTTCCTGGTCTTTTTTCAGTCATGTTTGATGGATTATAGAAATTATTAGGTTGTGATTCCTGACCTAGAAATTGTGTAGTATACATATGAAATTATAGAGAAAATTATGATAAGTCAGCGTTATTATGAATACATACGGGGGGGGGAATGAGTCATACTACACTGACCTGTTTATTGTATTTAGGCAGAACCCATCTTTGTGTGCTCTGGTCCTAGTACATCAAGTATTGGCATGTGCAGATGAGAGCATTGTTTAAGCCTCATTGTGTGATTCAACAGATTTTCGTTCCAGTCAAAATTTACATTTTGTTTCAGATTTAGTAAATCTATAAAAAAGATGTGACAATAAATATGTAAATAAATATGTAAATAAATATTAACTGTCACATCTATCTTATAAATGATTTTATTTGCTATGTACATATTTTGTGATTTTTTAAAATGTATATGTTACAAATCATTTGACATATGTAACTGTTACAGATCTGCTTATGGTATACATGTATGTTACTCTTCTGCATTGATATATTTTTGTGTAACACATACAGCATCCATTTATGTTTCAGATCTACATTCAACATACATGTATTCAATTTGTGAAAAACACTACATTTCTGTATGTTATATTAACGTGTTACACTTACATTTGATACATTTTGTGTTATACACATTTGATATATTTTGTGTTACACTTCTCCATTTGGTATATTCTGTGTTACAACTCTACATTTCATATATTTGTGTGTTACAGATCTACACAGACTGGGCCAACCACTACTTAGAGAAGGCGAGAAGTAAGCAGACAATTCGCGATCTCCAGCATGACGTCAATGATGGCGTTCTACTTGCCATCATTATTGAAGCCGTCAGTAAGTAACATACACACATACATCAGACTTTCACACAGTACTATCAGTCAAAATTGAAAACACAAAATTATTGGAATTTTTTAAAATAATTTTAACACGGTAAAAGTAAATAGACTGCCAATACTCAAAGCTATATATAGAGGTACACATCCTCCTAAGCAGGTGTCCAGAATCCGTACCTCCTTCTTCCCCCCTGCTATAACCAATTTGGAAACGCACGATTAAACTGAATCACATGATCTAATTATGCGCAATGATTTATACTTGATTTCTGTCGCAGTGTTGCGATAGCCAATCAGATTGCGAGTTCTTAATCGAGGAAATGCTAACTGCTTATCGCAGGGGGTAAAAAGAAAGAATATATTCTGGATTTTGAAGCCCTGTGATCGGAGGATGTGAGGTACAAGAAAAGCAGATATTCCTCTAAAATAAATCAGGAGCTTCAACTGCCATCTTTATGAAAGATAAAATAGTTTTCTGTAAATGAGTTTTACAGCCATGAACAGACATTTTCAATATTAGAACATTTACATGTTTGGTGATGTTATATGAATCATTTGTTTTCCTTTGCAGCAAATGACAAAATACCTGCCATAAAACCAAAGCCAAGAACCTCTAGTCAAATGGTAAGTAAAGATTTTAACATAGAAATGCTAGCTGATGGGACTGGATTCAAGGTGATTTGGAGTGAAGATGGAATGTTCTACATGGCTATGCACTTACACTCACTTATTACTGTCTCCCTTATCATCTAAAGTATGCTCATCATATAATTCATACCTGACCCAAGACCCTAGATGTCAGTTAGGTACCTGACCCAGACTTCAGATGTCAGTTGGGTCACAGTATTTCTCTCAAATTAAAATTCATTATTTTTTCATCATCTGTCATTGACATGTTGACTGTTTTTGCTGAGGAAATCTTTGTAAAAATTATCTTTCTCCAAAACAAATCCCTATAAGTATGTTTGAAAGAAAAACCCTAGATGTGAGTCCAGTTTTTGAGAGAAATAACCCTCGATGTGGGTTTTTGAATATCCGTTGCACCCCCTATACAACAAATTGACCAGTAGTAACTCTCTATTCTCTTCTCCATTTTCAATTTGTTCAGTTACTGATTGATAAGAGTTGCTCTTTAGACACCCCAGACACCTATAAACCATATAAATGATACAATCAACCTTACAAGTACTATACCCTAATAATAGCTGTGTCGAAATATTTTCACTAGTCAAGACTTTTTCTTGGCTTTTCTCTCTAAAATTTGAATGAACTGTCTGATTTTCTTGCATTTCTATACAATTTAGAGTGTTCACTACATGTCTGTTAGGTTTATATATTGCTAATTTCACTCTTTTCAACTCTATTTTGCATTTTAAAACTTGACTACCATGACATTTTTTCAAGGAACATAGTGTAGTTCCAAGATAAGTTAGTGAGATGATGAGTCTCTAAGAGTGGCTTCTATATATGGGAGTCTTCTATTGCATGTATGCGATATGAATAAGAATTTGAATGTCACGATGGTCATTTTTAAATTGTCAAATAGAATTTAAATAAAGTAGAATCAGCGAGAAATGAAGAAAGTAGGTATGTGCTCAATGCTGTTTTGTATTGAAATATTTTTTAAAAAATGAGATATGTTTCATTTTTTGATATTTTTTGATAACTTACAATTTAGCAGTAGCTTTTGGTACCTGCAATTCTCCAAATATCAAATGATAAACTACCCATTAACTCTTAAGGATTCAGCCTGGCATCACCCCCCCCCCCACCCCCATTTTCTATAAAAAAAACTGTTCTTTTCTACTTTTTTTGGACTAGCGTAAAATGTTTCTATTGGTTGCCTTGACATTTAATCATTTTTCATCATGTTTGAATGATAGAAGACTCCTAAACTTACCTATAGATGTATTTAGCTCATGTAGTTTGCTTGCATCCTATCACCTCATTCTGTCTATAGGAAGACATTTCTTCAGAAAGTTTCAAAGTTACACCTTTTTGTACAAAATCGACTAAGAAGAATAAAAATATTCTTTGGAATTTGGAATAACATAAGTGTATATGAAAATTTCAAAAAGTATTGGATATTGCTTGATAGGGAATTTTAACAAGATTCAGAAGGAGTTGTTTAACTTTAGTTGGTAAGTTATCGATTTGCTCAGTTTCAATATTTTATCATTTGTGAAAAAATTGTTACAAAATCTGTCAAACTTGAATTTTCATATGGATGTGTCAGGAGAGTTTCAGATTATGAAATTAAAATTAGTTTTTTTACTTCAGAAAAAAAACCTCGACAATGCTTTGAAACCAAGCTTAGGAGGGGGGGGGGGGGCGCTAATGTTTAATACACAAATATTTAACATATGAAACAATATCAACCAGTTTGAAATATTTATTTCTTACTTTCTTACTTAATTTTCTAAACTTTGCAATATGACATTTAAAGTTTTTTTTGGAATTTAATTCAAAGCCACTTATAATTTCTTTGATATACATGTGTAAAACTAAATTGGATATTATACATGTATGCAAACAATACAATATATATATATATATCATTTTTATCATTTCAATGAATTTTAATTGATGAACATTTATACATTTATAGAATATAAAGCTGTTTGTTTGGAAAGGTAACAATTTATATGAGAACATTAAGTTTATTTTCCATAATTTTCAAAAGATGTTATCATTCAAGAACATTTTACCTATGAAGGAAGTTGGTACATGTATGTGTTGGTCAGTTCTGGCTAAAAGCCATTTAGTTCCTGTTATATTTAGAATAATACATCTAACACATTCTAGACACCCCCATATTACCCACCATTCTTACACCTTGATTTTGTGATTCTCAAATCTGATTGGTTATCCTTAGTCACATGGTACCAAAGAGGGTATATTGGATGATGGTTTCCTTGTAACTCTATCTAGTCTCTGGACTATATAAACACCTGGGGCAGCTATTTATTAATTAAATCAAGTGTACAATATTCTTCTGTTCTTCCTTGGATAGCCATCAATAAATATCAGATGGTCATTTTTTCAAAGTATTAAATAGATCGGAAAGATGGATGCCTTAATGAGAGATAACATAAACAGACATGGGATTGGCAATGTTCTTTTAAAAAGATTGCCAGAAAATGAGTCAGTTTGCACTAATTTTTAAGAAATATATTACAAAAAACTGACAGAAGTAACATTTTGGTTACAGGTACTTGTAGGTCCAAATTCGGAACCAGTCCAAGTGATTCAAATATGAGATATTTCATGATCATGAATACTCAGTTCATTATTATGTATCTTAGAAGGACTTAATTCAACCCAAAGTTTTTCCTTTCCTAAAGAGGACTGCTAAACCCTATATTTTACTTTTCCTCTAAGGTAGAAGTTCATATTTAAATATGTATTTATTAGATATTAAAGAAGCCAAATAGATATTTAGAAACTCTTTTACAAATGCATGAAAATAGAGTTAATTATCCACTTGAAAATTAAAATTACATCTTATCATTAATATTTGCCTCTAGATTGAGTATAATGTAAGCTAAGCCAGTGTAGTTTAAATTCATATGGGGCCTTTAAAAATATATCATTCACTTCAACTGAAACCACTACACCTTTTGAGCCCAATATCCATGGTTCTATTTTTTTGTATGAAGAATGGATTCATCATCTATGGGACTGCCTGTAGTTCAGGCCCGTAGCCAAGGCCAAATAATCTTTCAAAATCATGCAGTTTTCACTGTTCTGAGCACTTTTTAAGTGATTTTGGCCATTTTTGGACCAAAATTGTCACTGTCACCCCATGGAATTTTTCAAAAAGTGAACCCCCCTTGGTAAATCCTGGCTGTGGGCCTGTAGTTTATGCAAGTTTTGACATTCTGATTCATTAAGAAGTCATTTTCTGACATTTTACACTCTCAAACTCATACATGTCCCTCTAAATATATGTCTATGGGTCAACATAAACATACTCATTCTTGTTCATAGCATGTCTAAACCTTGTAGCCATTTTATCTGATATGGCCAGTTCACACATTTTTCTCGGTTTTAATGAACACCCAGATATTATGTGAATGCTTTAGTGTGTGAATGCTTTAGTGTTCACTACTTGTCTATCTACTTATTTCTCGCAGAGTTCACTTATCTATCTCTCTATAATGTCTTTCTTATCATGATTGCCATTTTCCGATGGGCAAACTTGGCATACATTTTTTTAAGATTGATTATGAATATGACCTGTTCATATTGAAATGAATATATCAATTTTTGTGACTGTAAGTTATTTTATCAATTAACTGATGTTTTGGTTGCGAGTTTAGGTGCAATTTAAGATCATCGTGTCAAGAACTTTGTGTCCTTTTTAAATTAAATATCATTAGACTAATTCATTTTGATAATGAACTGAACCTTGTTCAATGAAGTACATTTTGAATTATTTGTGCAGAAGTGTCTCCAAAATATTGTAATAAATATAAACAGTTATTGGAAATTATTATCGAAGACATGGAAAAACTCACATAAACAGTCAGGAGCAAATTTTCGATGAGGTATCTTGCTCGATAATTAGATCGCTAGGAACGGAAGTTGAAATGGGCTATCAGTTGAAATATCACCTGAAAGGTTAGTGATAGATTTGAAATCATAGCCGAGAAAATATTATTCTTAGAGTTATGATATTGCAAGCTTACCCAACTTCTCATAGTGGGGTCTTGTGCTTATGTCTTCCCAGCATCATTTGTATTTTTTACAAGTATTCTTAAAGCTGATTGGCTCTAAGCAGTCATGTGATTGAAATTGTGGGTTATAGGCACTCCTGTTCATATTCATTAAAATGTTTGATTGATATGTCTGAATTTTGCCAAATTTTTCATCAATGACTGACTTTCAATATTTCTTGAGTATGGAGCAAAATAAACTTGAAATTTATGAACATTAGACCTGATACCTGGTTGTATATTTAATAGGGTTTTAAGGGAGATCATATTTTTCTCCCTCAAGCATTTCTTCTCCTTTAGGAGTAAACGATGTGATGCTGATATCTTTTGAAAACATCATACTTGAAAAGTTCATATGGTTTATGTTTAAGCATGGTACATACATTAATTCAGTGATCACACTTGGGTTTTGATTTAGTAAAGAATAGCTTTTTGGAAATATGTTCACATCATCAACAACAACAATGTCAAATATATGTATAAATAAAATCGTCTGTTGTATTTTCAGATTGAGAATATAGAAGCTTGCCTGTCCTATCTTGCCAATCTTGGTGTTAATATTGATGGGCTGTCAGCTAAAGGTAAGAATTACCCTTTTCATACCCTGCGTGCAGAGTCTAGTTAAACTACACTCTGCCTAGTAGAGGGTAGCCTTTTCAGTACAATGTAGTTTGATTTCATTCTCATTCAGAGAGCAGTAATTGATACTATCCTTATGGCCTCAGGGTAATAAGACATATTAAGATTGTTTCTTGTTTGTGGAATTGTGTATTGTACAATAGTGTTATCATTTATCTGATTGCAATAGACTTGATGCGAATAGAAATAATCTTGATTTACGTCATTAAATATTCAAAATTCAGTCAAAGTGATGTCATATTTGGAATATCTAGATGTAAAAGTACATCTAGAAAAATGGTTTCGAAAATTGTGACTTCTAGTTCGGGTTGATTCCTCATAGACCCCATGTTACAAAATCACAAAAAGTGAAATATATTTTCTTGTATTGGACCGATAATATTTTCTTTTACTGGACATATTTTGATTTGCATAACTATTAGATACATAAGGGTCATATGAAAATTGAACCACTAAGACAGATGTAATTTAAGTTAAAGGGAACTTTCTACTATACCCGCCATGTTATCTTGCCCGAACGAGCCACCTAGTGGCGAAACTGGTAACTACCTACTCGCATCTGCGTTATTTAAGAAATTATTTTAACACAACCAACTCTTCTTGTACCATTTCGCTCTATTCAACGCAAGTGCACAACAGAAAACATTTTGCCTGAGAACATTCAGGTAGATCTAGGGCTTCTTAATTTTAGTGAAACTTTTTTGTAGAATGATTTAACTTGATTACATGTTTTCTTCTATTTATTTATTTGCTAACACTTTTGCAATAGTGGCACAAAGATTTTGAAAATCTAGTATGCCTAAACATACAAAAGGGTTTATTGTACCCTGAACATTTTAATGAGAAATATGTAGTTTATTTGAATACTTATAAAGCAGTGGAGTCATTATATAGAAAGTAATTAAAAAATCTGAAGTTTTTTAATTGTACATTATTTATTGATTTAACCTCTTGAATACCCAGAGTGACGGATATATCCGTCACAAATGAAATAAGACTGGTGCCCAGAGGGACGAGAAAATCCGTCACAAAATTTTTCACAAAAATTGCTCTCATTTGAACAATTTTCATCCAATTTACACAAAAATTGTTTTAAAATGTGTAGAAATGATCTCTGCCGTCCAATTTTACTAAGCTGAGCATCTAAAGTTGTACAGGTATGTAATAAAATGTCAAAAGGTGGCAAAAAATGAAAAATTATCTGGTTTCATGCCAATTTTAGAGCTTTGGATTCAAGAGGTTAAAAAGTTAAATGTGTGACTCGTGATTTAATTATTTTTCAGCAATCCACAATGGTAACTTGAAGGGAATTCTGGGATTGTTCTTCAGCCTCTCTCGTTACAAACAGCAACAAAAGAACAATATCCAAGCGCAGCAACAACGGCAGCAGCAGCAACAGAGGAAACAGCAATCAACACGCAGTACTACAAGCGGGGCGACATCTCGTGTGGCTCCATCACAAAACAATCCAGAAATGCTGTCAAGGTACGATGAAGTCATGTGTTGATTTATACTTGAATTACACTGAAATTTGAATTCGAGAATATAAGCTGATTTTATTCAATAATTTAAAGAAAATCATAATTTTGATTTATTTAACCCACACTTAATGAATACAATAGGTTTATTGTAATTATTATGTACAAAGTAGCACATGTACTTTTGCTTGATTTATATTATTGTATAAATTCCATACAGCAGTATATGAAAAGAATAAATCACCTTCAGTTTTGAAGTTTTGTCAGTTTCATTTTTTATTTGAACCCTGTTGGATGTTAACTCATACAAGGGCGACATCTATACATATAAAGAAAGCTAAAGTTATATGAACTTCTTTTTCAAAATACCTATGGTAAATAGATCAACAAAACTTTAAACTACTGTTTCAAATCTTAATTCTTGAGATTAAAATAATTAGAAATGAACATAAGTGACACACTCACTAATAGAAACAAACCTAATTCTGTTTGACCTAATATTTAGGTTAATCCGTGAAAATGAATCACTTCTCGTGCAAATATTTGAAATATTTGAGACACTCATCCAAACTTATGTTTTATTTGTAATTAATGATTTGGCACTAATCTGAATTGTTAATGAAAAACATATTAATGTATATTTATAAAGATTAGCCGTTGATTATAATAGTGTTTTGTGTAATGTTTTGATGATGGCTTAAAAGCCTCCAACCAAACTTGTATTTTGGAGTAATCCAATAAAAGATGTTTTTATGTTTCGGATATCTGCTATTATGTTATGCCTCGTGATATGTGATACATTACTTCTACATTATGATTTAACAGTTATATTTTTGTTTGACCGTTTTCAGACTTCCGTCACCATTTAAAAAGGGACAAGCGTCAAAGGAGACTGCAATGGCCAATGCTCAAATGTCGAAGAAAAGTGGGAGTTTCGGTGCCTCGGATCGCGACCGTGTGAGACCCAGTGGATACTCGTCAGCCAATCAGACTCAGGGACAAGGTATGTTTTCATCGTTTGAATTTTCGTTGCACAATTTTAGGGAATTTTTAGCTCATATGTGTGAGCTATTGTTATAATTTTGGTTCAGAATCATGAAAACCTGAAATTGATATTAGAAAACTAAGACTGGACTGTTAATATTTGAAATAGAGGTTTATGACTGTATTTTTGATCACTTCTAGTCTCTTGTCTTCCACATGTACCAACAGTGGTTCACAGAATAAAAAGGTCTCTTCTTGTCCCAAAAACTCAAGCATATTAGGATCACATTAGCATAATAAACAATAATAAACAATAATAACTTCTTTTTTTATGTTAATTCAAAACAGAATACTCCAAAGAATACATACAAAGAAATGAAATCATATTTTCATTAGAATACATTGTCAAAGAAATAAAACCAAGATTCATGAATTAATCCTAAATATTGACAATAACAATATACAGGAAGCTAAACATGATCTTTCTTCTATTAATAAAGGTGTTACATTTCAATGCAAATCCCAATCCCGGAATCAGCAATTCAGTGCTTAAATCTCCATTTTGGCAATTCTTTACAATTTAGAGTATTTACTACGAGGCTATTTACTTTATTCCTTGTAGTTTCCATTCTTTTCATGTTATTTCTCATTTTTGATCATGATCACAATTTTGTTTCAAACTGCTGGTTATGTATTAATCTTATTATATAATAGAAACTTACAAAGTTTATTCAATATTCAACTTCTATTTGCTAAATGGAATATAAATATGCAACAATTAACAAAATAGCTTTTTGGTTGGTTCATGTTTTTATTTGCGGAATAAATTCATATGCATACAATATATTTATTAATATTGTAGCGTGTCTAGACTAAAAGCATTATTCTTTACAAAACATTAATGCTTTATGTGAAAGCAATAAATATCACATTTCATAATACATTTTGTAAGTTTTCACTTTATGCTGCAAATAGTCAAAATTGTCGCGCCTTATTCATTCTTGTATCTGCAAATATCTTTGAAATTATTGATGATTTTTTATGCCTTGTTATGTACATTTTACCACTTAAAAGCTACATGATAATGGACTGTTAGATGCATTCAGAATTTTGGTTGAAGAAATCCCGAAAAGTTTGAAGTATTTTACAAGGGTTTACATGTTTCCAAACAAGTCTAAACTCTAAGAATCAACAAATTTTTGTTATAAAGTCCAAATGTCAATAAGATCTTAGGAACAGGTCTAGTTGAGTATACACTATTATAAAACCACCTGTTCTTGAAATATCATGCTTTTCCACTCAAAATTCAGTAAAATAGAGAAATTTGCAAGGAATAAAATTACCAGATAGAACATTTACATTCCTGAGTATACAAAAATAACAAAAAATTATGATTTTTTGGATATTCGGTGTGAAAAAGTTTAAAATAAGCGAGACGAAATTTGTATTTTGTGTGTGATTAATGTTCATTCTGTAACAGTTTTGATACGATTTGAACAAGTCAATTTGACATTGAAGTCAGCGAAAAACCTACAATGAATAAAAAAGGAGTGCTTTAAGTGAAAGGAAAGGTTACTCGTTTTGTGATCTTTTATGTTATAAATACTGTAACTACTTACTTTGGGAACTTAGTTCAGAAAAATCAAATATCACGCTGAGTAACATCTGGAGATATTTCATGAGATAAGGTAAGGTTTAAGATTTTGATATTCTTAAAATGTTACATTTTGACCCCTCTTATGCCATATGTACATTCTTCTAATGGAACTGGAGCTCAGAATTATTTCAATAAAAGTTTTTACTTGACAAAAGTCTATGTCTTACTTGAAAGAAGTCTATACTTGTATATTAATATGAAGCCCCTATATGATAACACATGTTAATGGTAAAAGCAAGTCTAAATTTTACAAATGTCTTTACTTGAAAAGTCTTAATCTTTTAAATGATGATAAGGTAAAGGTAATATCTCAGCTCATTTAGAAAAAGAAAATAAGCTATCTTGTGATATTCTATGATGTTTCTTGATATATTATCTATTGCAAAGATAGATGCCTTGTGTGATGTTTCATAGCAAATAACATCAACTGAGAAGCAAAGATGGCGCTAAATTCCCATGCTTGAATATTCTCTTTGGTCATGAATTACCCATCATGAGAAATCTTGGCCTTCTTTTTGCTATATTTCTAGTTGAAGTCAGAAAGATGTGATGAGAATCAGAATGGGAATTATATTATTTTCTGTATTCGCAATATAATTTAGAATGTTGACCACATGTCTGTTTACTTATCATCATTTGGTACAAATGACAGACTAAAAAATCCTAAAACATTTTAGTGTTATAAAAACTTAAAATAAAAAAAACAATATCATGTAGTCATGACCTATGACTGCTGACCTATACCGGCGATTACTAGAGTGCTGCTAACTCGATAAAAGGCTGGCGCTGGCTAGAATTGTCTATGGTTCTAGCCAGGATAAAGATACCAGTTCTTCAACTCGACAATGGGAAGAACTGCTCTACCTTAGTGACTAATATGTCATGATATGACATCTAAAGAGTCAATAAAAGATATATATATCAAATATAATCAAGAAGACAATGAACTTAATAACCTGAGACTGATGACTGATGGTTGTTACACACATACATAATTTGATATTTGCCTAAAGGAGTGGTATTCTTTCAATGTATATCAATTTAGATGCTGTGGCAATGCTGGATAGCAATTTCATGTACCACAACTTATATAACATAAAACCAAATACTAATGATTTCATGTACTTAGTACGACTAATTATATAATACAAACCATTAATTTTCATTGAGTGCCCCAAAAACTCAATGAACTTAAATTCGAAAACTGATAAGATTCAACATGATGTAGTAGATTCTGTCTTAGATCAGTTGAAGTTCATTTTGCATCAACAATTGTTCATGTTGGGGAGCTAAACAATGACCCCATGATGAATGTTTCATGTGAGCAAAATGTCAAAGTGTTCATGTTTTAAAATGTAAAATAACATGGAAAATAGTGAAATTCACAAGGAATTGAGTCATGTAAACAGATGCACAGACTATATTCATGCTTAGGAGAAAAATCGAACAGTTTTTAATATTTTTGGTGAGATGTAAGTGAAATAGCAATGACTCAAATAGCATGTTGTTTTATAAACCATCTGCTGGACTCTATGTTGTTGTGTTACACAATTAAAAACAGTTTAATTAAATACCTATTCATATGTTGCCCTTTGAATATCATATTTTAAAATGAAATTTTAGTCAGAAAATGAGATTTCGCAAAAGTGCTTTACAATATCTTGAAGATGAATGTTAAAAGGCGCGAATTTCAATGAGTACAGCGTCAATTTACTCTTTATTTTTCTGTTTTCTGGTTATTCATACTTCATTTAAGGGTCTGCATGTCCCATGTGTTTTTGTTATGTTTTAAAACATATGGAGTTATAAACGTGGGAGTAAATAGTTTGATGGATACTCACGAGTAAGCCATGAAAGTTCAAGAAAAGTTTCAAACATGATGTTTTAGACAACATTTGGAAAAATAATGGTTCCTTGTCAGTAAGTACTGTAGATGTTAAATGTTTTGGTGATCATTTCTTTAAATTCAATTTAGAATAGAAAAGTATATTTGATAAACCCATGGGGATGGCCTAGAACTGTTTCTAAGTTTTTTTGATTGTGAAAATAAAGATGACATCCACAGATCAGTGTTTAGTGAAATATGAGTTTGTTTACCCTAATATTTGATTTTGTGATCAGAATATCTCACTTATCATCAATGTTTTTGATAACTCAACTCTGTGCTAATATGGATTTTAGAATGGGTGCAATTTAGAATTGGGTTCTACACTCTATAACATAAATGCCAGGGAGAATTTGAGTCAGTGAAGAAGATGGTTCATATTCAAACTTATCATCAAGGTGTCTATTAGATACATTTTCCATATCCATCATTGCTATTCCCTTTAGCCTCCAGTACTTTCTATATACACGTACTGTAAAACATCCAATCTATACATCAATTTCACAAATTCTGAATTTTTTGGTATTTATTGCTTCATATTGAAATTGTTATTTCTAAATATCAACTGATATCAATATTGATATTTGTGAAATCAAATTAGGACTTTTCAGTCAATTTAACTTATTCTGCAAACTTTCATGTTTTACAGTATTGGCTATTGACCAATGACTTTTTGCCATAAATTATTGACCCCCTGTAGCCAAGAAATGAGGGATTGTAGGCCAAGTGTTGAACAGCTGTCCTATGGCTTGAGTTAATATGTGGAAAAAACTACAATATTTCATTAACTGCTTAGGATAAATCAAATGTAATGGATTTCCCAGGATTTTGTTGAATTTCTAGTAAAATTTGATGTCTTTTAATCAGATTTCTTTCATCAATATTATGAGAAATGGCGATCATATGTTCTTGCACCTGAACTACACCTATACTGGACCTATATCATACCTGGAGGGATTCATGTAAATAGTGTGGTCAAATTGCAGAAATGATTGAAGTTTTGGGATTTGTCGTAAGCTAAAGGCTTATACTATACTAGATATATTAGGATAAATGTGCCAGAGCAAATTGTGGATTTTTAGTGGAAAGGCTCCAAAGAAATCACAACAAAGTTTGAAAGTCAAGACAAGGCTGTCCAGTGGATAGGTGATGTTTTTGTAGCATGTGTTGAGTTTGGAGTGTCTAGTATAGCTGTTCACATGTCATGGTGAACTTTGGAGATGCCATGCTAAATAGCATCATATGAGGAAAATGTAAGGATTCCCTTAGAAAGATAATGAAATTCTTAACCTTCACATGGCATAAGTCAACTGACATTCAGAGTCTTTTCTATGAAGGGAAATAGAGTGAGATTTCTTGAACATTGAGGAGTGACTTTTGGTAGGGAAACACAGAGCGAGCGAAAACACATACTGTTGAACACAGCATATAGTAGTGCTTTACTAAACATTGCATTTCACACACAAGTAAATACAGT